TACTGTCCGAGCCCCCAAGGTCTGGAACAGCCTGCCACCGGAGGTGGTTCAAGCGCCTTCATTGAACACCTTCAAGACGAAACTGGATGCTTATCTTGCTGGGATCCTATGACCCCAGCTGACTTCCTGCCCTTTGGGCAGGGGGCTGGACTCGATGATCTTCCGAGGTCCCTTCCAGCCCTAATATCTATGAAATCTATGAAAATCCTGGACATTTGCTGATATTTAAAAAAACTGCCTGGACAGAGGTGGGAGGACCCAAAAAGACGACATATCTGGGAAAACCTGGACGTATGCTAACCCTATATACACAAGCAGCAAGGCTTCTCCAATGTACTGTAATTACAGTGTGTTGGAGCAGACACGATTAATCGAGTCTCCTGGAGTGTAGTAATCACTGTGCTCCAGCAGCCTCCAGGGTCTTGTGTATCAGCATCTGTGTGCTTAAAACTGGCAGTGGGGACACTTGAACTAAAGCTCGTTTGAGCTTTAGATAAAGTGCCCCTGCCGTCATTTTTAAGCGTGGGGATGCTGATACACGAGACAGTGCGGGGGCTTTAATTAGAGTGACTCTTGGAGCTGCTCTAATTAAAACCCTCCCCTCCTCCCCTTCCTGGAGCACGTGTATAAACGCCCTTAGTTCCAGCTTGGGTTCATGTGTACATTTTGGTATTCAAGGGGTATTCAGACCCGTAAGATTAGTGTGATTGGCTTAGAAATGCTGATGCTCTCTTAGAAATGATCTTTTTAAAAAAAACAAAACATTATTTCCTTTAAATTAATTTCCCTGCTGGTTTCTGAGCCCTTAATTTACTCGCATCACATTTCTTAAGCCTTTCTCCACAGTTCTGGGGACTAGAAACTCACTTTTGTTAAGGAAATGTAAGCTGAAGTCCTTGTGCAGGTTTTTTCATATCAGCAGCTGGGGCTTTAAAGAAAAGCTTGTTATAAAACTCTGAGAGTCGGCAACATTGAGATTAACCAACTCTCAGAGAGAAAACAATGCCAGTTTTCCTCTGCAGCCTCCCAAGCTCAGAATTCAGGGTTCGGTATCTCGTTGGCTCCGTCTGGTGGCCCTGCTGAAAGGAAACCACAGCCTTCAGTTCCCAGCGCAGTGTTTGTTGTGGCCTCAATTGTTGCTAAGGAAACATGATAGCAAACCCAACATTTGTCAGGTTAAAAAGCGTTTCTGTTTACCTGAGCCTTAGTTTAATTTTGAGGTCATTATAAACGGTAAGGTGAGTGAAGGCAATCAGAGTATAACCTAGACATTAATTCAGTTGACTTCAGATCATTTGCATTCTTCAGACTGACTGATTCAATTACTGCAAAACGTATGTAGCGTTTTGCTTATTATTATTATTGTTGTTGTTGTTATTATTAATAACTACCCATCCACCTGTCTATGGGGTAATGATCTCACAAACAGAAATGGTAACAGTATTGATACTAACACTTGTCAAAGAGGGAAAACACTGAAATTCTGCAACAATCTAAAAAATAGAGACTCCGTATGAGACTTCTGACAATTTTCCTCTGACCACCATCTATTCAGACCTTGATTGGATGGAGTCACTCATCATGGCAGACATACAGGGCAAAATTAGAGAATGCCTCTGTTCATAAAGAGCAATTGAACTAAATTTCACATGCATTCCTAAATTACTGCTTTCTGTTATGATGTAAGAGAAACCAGCTTAAAAAGTCCTTCAAGGTTCAAAGGAACCACAAAAAGAAGAGAAGAGAAATTGTGATTTTTACTGTTCAATGAAAATGGAAGCAAACTCCTGAAGGTTCTTTTTTCTGCCAAGAATCTTTCACTTTTGTAAATTATGGGATGTGTCCGTTTAATGCCAATGACTTGAAAAACTGCAAACGGCTACAGAGGAAAACTCAAAACAGGTACTATACAGCAAGCAGCTTTCCCTTTCTCTTCCCTGTCAGGAGGGGAATGTCATTTGCAGTACAGTTTTTCTGGTGCTATAAATCTTGAACATCTTACTACTCTTTAATGAATGGGTGAGGCCTGCTCTCATGGGCAGTCCAAACGTGAGACGTATGTGAAAAATGGTTCCTAGAGTATTTGGTATTTTAGGACAGCTCATTATTCTGGCACACAAATTAATCCAGAAAGGAGGTGTAGAATGATAAATTCCATCACAATGTACAGAATTTTAGAGGAAGTAGCTAAAATGGAAATATAAATTGCCTGCAGGTAGCCAAGAAATGTTTACATCCCTAGTGGAAAGTGCCATTTAAATGACAATTACATTTATACTGTTTACTGCTTACCGTTTACCATTTAGTGAACTCCGGCAGAAATGGCTCTGGCCCCTGATGTCTTCACTGTGTTTCTGGTGCTGCATGGGCCCCTGGCAGCTGGTAGGGAGAAAGACACTGGGCATGGGTGAGGCACTAGGGAGCGCTTCCCAGCTGAGAAGCTGGGGCTCCCCTGGACCCCGTGGACAGGGGCTTGGGCTGCAGATGGAGCCAGGGCTGCGGACCTCTCCTGTGCCTGGATTCAGCTGCTACAGGGAGGGAGGGACATACCACAGAGGTTGGTTGGGGCCTTCCTGTCACAGCAGAGAGACTCTCGCCTGCATGGTGGGTCTGCCTGGCTCCCCTACCAGGGTGTCCTGGGCAAGGCAATGGACTTCCTGTGCCTCCTGCTGCCTTTCTGCTGGTGCAGCCCAGATCTGCAAGACCCCTCTGCGCTGTCCGGCCAGGCTCTCCCCAGCTCACCCAGGGAGAAGGGGAGGTCTGGTCCCAGTGGGGCAGACTCTGCTGGGCACGCTGCATCCTTCCCCATCTTGCCTATGGCACTGGTGCTGCACAGGGCCTGTTGAGGAGGCGCTGTGGCAGCTGGAGTGGGCATCGTCAAGTCTGAGGGGCCTCTGCCAGCCCCTTCTGTGGTGATCATGGTCCCAGGCGTTCTTGGGGTGCAGCG